AAAATCTATAAGTGTTATATTAGTTGGGCCCAAGAAAAGACATGCATTTAAGGAGGTTTTTCATATATATGCATTTAAGGAAGTTTTTCATATATATGCATTTAGAGAGGTTGCATTTAGGGAGGTCCGACTGTATTTATTAGTGCATCTATGGATATACTGTATATATAAAGAATATATTTAGGTATGTTTTTTATTTACATCTCCAGAACAAAGTCCATATGCATGTCTTTTGTTCTAGAAGGGCAAGGATGTGATTGGCTAATTTACATGAGATCGATTTATTGTTATTATTACATGCACGGACTTGACTCAAGGACCGAGTTCTAATCGAAGTCCCTATTCACTGAGTCCGGACCGAAAGAATCGGACTTTTAACAGCCCTAAATAATGGGAAGAAATGAATAGTATTGCGTAAGGGTTGGTAATGAAGTAACAATCGACGAAAAATGTAGTAATCTGACTCTTGTAACTAGGGTTGGGGGCACGGAAAATCATCACGCGGGGCACGGCATAACACCCTAAATCATCACATGATAATAAAACATCACATGTAATTAATAATTTCCATGTGATGATTAACATCACACCTCCGTGCCCCTGTGACAAATTGAAATCACACCCCCGTGCCCCCAACCCTACTTGTAACAGCTTTACTGCGGAGAAATGAGGTAATTCCTTTGTCGGTCATAGTGCAAAAAAAAATTTTGCGTAAAACAACTTTATCTACTGTATACCGATGCGATTTGTCGATCATCAATTTTGCGTTTTTTTTGCATTTAAAGTTTATTTAAGTCATTGATCTATTTATATTCGCCCACCTATATCATGCAGGCAACAGATTTTATCACCAACAAACTTTCTGTAAGCCAATGCGACTTGTCGATCATCCATTTTTGCGTTTTTGAAAACTTTGTATATAAATGTTTGATTTCAATTCAATTTTACTGAAAGTATTCATAATTCTAAAAGACAATGATTTCATATAGAATTCAATTGTTTACTTTTATTTTCTCATTATTTTTATTCTATAAACTAACATTATGCTCGGAACTTGAACCATTTTTATATAAGCACTCCCCTGATTATCTTATAAATAATCATTTTTTCGAAATTGCAAAGGATGTTTTTTCTCTTGATGACATTGAGCCTATAAACTATCCTGATAATTATACATTAAATCAATTATTTTTGCTTACTAGGCATGGTAATTATTTATTCATATGCACAACGAAATTTTGATGATATAAAATAATTTTTGGGGAAACTATTAATTAGGATCGAGATTTCCGATGGCAGTCCAGAATACAGCTTTTGATAAAATTGATAAAGCATTTGCAAATGTTTCCGTAGCAAAAGATTGGGTAAATTATTTTTTATTTAATACAGTATAACAAATAGAAAGTATTATTTATATAAAAAAAAAAAAAACCAATTTTTAGCCTAAAAATCCTTTCCCCGTGGAAAAAAATTTTCGATTAAATACAAGAGGTAAACTCGAATCTTATTACGGTGGATTACAATCTCTTAAAAGATATGAAAAATTTTGGGAAATTGTCGAATATGATGTTGATGTTGTAAAATTTCAGACTACTGATATTTTTTGGTAAATTTGCGTATATTCATTACAATATTCTAGTCCTGAAGTTACATCTGATAGAAAATGGGCTCAATTTAGAAGCCTTAAGAATTGTGGTAGCTGAAACTGAGTTTATTTTAATATTTAAAAGTTTTTTATTATGCGTATTTTTTTTAAACTTTTTTTGTGTGTTTAGATTTAGGGTGGTAATAAAAGAGCATAAGTAAATTTTTGTAGGTTTAATATGTTAGTAGATTACATAGTGCCCCAAATCCCAACTTTAGCCAATACCAGTTTCAGCTGTCACTTAATCTAAGCAGGTGTAACTTAATGTATTTGAAGTTGCAACTTCAAGCATGACATACTGTACAATATACTTACAATATATTCATTAATTATATTACAGGGTCAGTCAATCGGCCATGTCTTT